GAGGTGAGTTTCCTCACTGGGTTGGTGGGTCTAAGGCACCAAGGCCGACCTTTGATTGGTTATGTCAATATATGTGTTGTATGTGTGATACTTGTATGTGCTTGTATATGTATGTTTATTGGGTGGGGCCATATTGCGAGTGTGGGCGGGGCCAGTATTGCAAGTGTGGATGGGCCAGTATCTCATTGGGTGGGGCCCCTTATGCAAGTATGGGCGGAGCCAGTTATATGCTATGTTTGGTATGTAGTATCTTGGGGAAATCACTAAGCTTTGTGCTTATGGTTTTAGTTTATGTTTCAAGTACTTCCGGTTCCAAGGGGAAGAGCTCGGGATGACTGCATCGTACACACCACATGGATTCTGTTTATGGCACATACTCTGATTTTTATGATGTTTGACATACTTATTTTATTGGGTTATATGAACAATGTTTTTGAATACTATTTTTACTTAAATCAAAAATGAAAATTTTGGGTCATAATTTTTGGATGTTTCAAGTTGGTATCAGAGCCTTGGTTTGAGGGATTCGGGCACACTCGAGGAGTGTCTGAACTTAAAATGAGGATTCGGTCAAGTTTTCAAAAAGAAATATATTTTAAGAAAATGTTTTCTAAATAAGAAAGGGTGTGGTGCATGCAATCAGCCGAGCTCAAGTAAGTTTTCCCAAAATACTCACACATGTTTATGAAATGTTTTGAATTGTGAATTTGTTAATCGCATGCTAGATTAAGGATAAGGATCTAGGAGAAATGCATTTATATGTCTGCTGTATGAGCTTGTAGAATTGGATGCTAGTATTGACCAATCAGTAATAGGATGGCCTGATAGGGTTATGCTTCGTTCTGATTACTTGATGCTCGAATGCTGCTTACTTTGTGCTTTTAGGAGTTCTAACTAGCTTCTGCTAACTAGTAAACGAATATGCTAAGTTACATATCCTGGGAACTAAATAATTTTAGAGAGTTAGGTTTTAACTCTATTGCACAACTCTTGTTCGAGTCCAACCGTTGTAGTGTGAGACCTCTTATTCGAAGAATTATCTAGTTTGTGTCACACCCCGAACCAGACGGCGGAAACGGCCGAGGGCTTGGGTGACTTTATCATGGAATATCATCACAGTGAATATAAATGAAACATAACATCATCATCACCACACATAGCATAATACAACAATAATGGGTTTACATCATTGTAATTGTTTACAAAAGTTACATCCAAAAATAAAAGTGTATGATTGCTACAAAATGCAACAAAATCCATATGTTCTCGAAGTCCACCTGCTTAACGATTTCCTGATAATACAAGTTATTTTGAAAAAGACAACATATATAATGTTGGTGAGTTCATAAGCATGTTTGAATGAAAAGTTTTGTATCACTTCGTAACACCAGAAAATCCGATATTTTCTGTAAAAATGGATTGAAAGTTTTCTGTCAACTCTTGTATTAAAGCATGTGTGTTTCGTTTGAATATGTATAAAGTGAGTATTCCATAAAATCCTATATTTCCTGTTGTAAATAGGAGGTGTTGTATAATTGTATGTTTTCCCAGAAAATCCGATATTTTCTGTTTATAAAAGTGTCGTGGTCTTAAAACCCTAAGACCGAGTACCAATGTATGTATGTTTTTATATCATCAAAATTGTATATGTATTCCGTAAATTTATAAAGGAGTTAATCTCTATGTGAGTCGTTATAACCATACTTGATATTACTGATCCGCCTGTCATGACGTTTTTCAGGCGCCGACTTGTTTAAGGTAAGGTTTGTCACCCTAGACTGACCTAGTCTAACTGTAGCGAACAGCTCAGGTGTGGGGTGTAAACCTCGTATAAATCTATACACGAACTCTCGCTCTCCCTCCAGGAGACTCTGGTTATAATTACAGACTTAAGGTTGTACACTAGATAGGTACGAACAAATGAAATGTCTCACAAGAGCCTTAACTGAATTTACGCGTATATTGTATTATACTATGTAATGTAGTAAATAATGTTTCTGTGTATGTTTTAAGTTTACAAAGCCCAACGAGTAAGTATGTGAATGTATGAGGCCCAACAAGCATGTAATTGGACAACTATGGCCCAATAAACATGTGATGTATTTCCCAGGCCCAATGAACATGTAAAAGGACAACTAAGGCCCACTAAACATGTGATGTATTTCCCAGGCCCAATAAGCATGTAAATGGACCACAAAGGCCCAATAAACATGTAATGTATATTCCAGGCCCAATAAGCATGTAAATGGACCACAAAGGCCCAATAAACATGTAATGTATATTACAGGCCCAATAAGAATGTAAATGGACCACTAAGGCCCAATAAACATGTAATGTATATTCCAGACCCAATAAGCATGTAAATGTACCACTAAGGCCCAATAAACATGTAATGTATATTCCAGGCCCAATAAGCATGTAAATGACGTATTTAGTTCGTTTGTTATTATGTTGTTTGTTTTAGCTCAATTGTTTACCAAAATGACATAAAAGGCCCATTTTTTGTAAAAATGACATTTTTGGCCCAATAAGCCGAAAATTTACAATTTAGGCACATTTTTGGTAAGACTAACACTTTAGGTCCCTTAAGACCAAAAGTTTACATTTAAGGACTTATTTCAAATAAAATAACATTTTTAGCCCACTTTTGTTAGAAATAACATTTTCGGCCCAAATTTATGGAAATTAACTCATTTGGCCCAAGTTTAATAAAATTGACATTTTCAGCTCATTTAACCGAAAATTTACATTTTTGGCTCAAATTTGTTTAAAATGACAATTTATCCCACAAAAGTCAACAGTTTACAAATTTAGCCCATGAAACCGTGAAGGCCCAAACTTAAGCCCATTTTGTGAAAATTTACACTTTTGGCCCCTTTAAAACCGTGAATATCCCTAAGACCCATTTTTATATAAAAATGAGTCTTTTTGGTCCTTGAAAAACCGTGAGCATCATAAAGGCATCACATTTTTGCTTATTTGTCAAAAATGGCCCCTTATACGGTTTTAGTTAGTTTTCCACATCCTCAACATGTTTGTTTCTTTCAACTTCATAATAAGTTACATAATGTATTTTAGTTTGCAAACATCACCAAGTTTAGTGGATATTTCGAGTTTTATGGTGTTTCAACAAGTTTTCATATCATATTCACAACACATAACATGAAACACACAAATACATACATAAACACATAGATCTAACACAATAATTGTGCCAATTTTATCAATTACAATAATTGTGGCATATAATTTTCATCTACCGAATGACTAGCTTCTTGAAACAATCGTTTATAAGATTGCCTTCTTGAAACAACCGTTCTTAAAAAAAACTGAAATTTGAAAGAATAAGATACGATGGAAAGAGGATCACTTATGAGCCATTCCTAATGACCTTGAGTCGTTCACGGATTTCTGCCTTGAGTATTTTGACAACCACCACAATCAAAACCTCAGAATCTAATGTGATCAAAATGAAGAATCACAATCAGACACAAAATCATAAAACATCATCCTATACTAATCGAACAGAAAAATCACAAAACACCATACTACTCAGAAACAAAAATCACATTATTTCACAGATATAATGAGATATTACCGAGACATGAGAGAAAGAACAGAAAAAAGAAGCCTTAAAACAAAGTACATTGGTTTTACATGTATTTTTATGCTCCCACTGCATTTATTATGCTCCCACTCATTAAACTTTTGGGCGAGTTCAACATGTTGCTTATGACTAAAGATTAGAACCTATGAATGTGAACAGTTGCTGAACATACCAGTACATTTTGATGTTGCCATTTCAAAGTCCGTTTTGATTTTGACACTTTCAAAGATCCATCGCAAGGTTGATACTCTTTTTATTTTGTTACATCCTGAACCAATTAATAGAGTCGATGGTAACATATAAGGCTGTGTGTACCTTTTATTCATGTGATGAGAGAAAGATTTGGGTGTCAGAAGAATACCTCACATGTGTCACCATTTTGGGAGAGCTTCCATTTTGGGATAAAGCTCTAAACCCCTGTGGCTTCTCTGATGAAAACAGATAAAAAAGTAATACACTAATTATTACTTACATACATCCACTTGGATAAACTGTTGTTTACTCAACTTATGGAAGTTATGTAAATAGACAATATATTTCTCCATAAGAAAAATAAAAAAATTTAACTCTGATATTAGTAAATGACATCAACCTTTATAGCAGGCACCATCTACAAGTTCATGATAATATTGATCCACTTCATTGCCATGCTCCATAAATCTCCGGGTGTGTAGGGTGTATTCTCCTGTTTTAAACTGAAATCCGGTGAGATCTCCACCAATGATGTGATTCCATGACTTGTAATAACCCAATGCATCATCTTCTTCATCCTTGCTTCCATTCTCATTAACAAAACCCACCCCACACTCCTTTGTAACTTGATCAACATATAAATATGGTATGGGCACAGTAACAGTAACGTGGTCACCACATTCCATCTCATTCATCCCAAACATCCAATGGCTTAACAATGTAAAACACTTGTCACCAAGATAGACAATGTCAAGGTAATGTTGGTATATCCAGGTGAGGTTCTTTGTTATATTATTAATTATGATCACTGGCAAATCAAGGAGCTGATTCATAAATCCAGAGGTCAGCACACAGCAGAAATTTAATCCTCTAAACTTGTTAGGAGATGATGGGGTTGTAAATGATATTGACGACCCCATGCTTCTATTTGTAATCCAATTCGGCATCTCTTCGCCTCCATAAATTGTGCTAAATATTCCAAATTCATAATACATCTGCCAAATACAACCACCTTCATTAATTATATATACATATATATTCACAAAAAAACATAGTTAACTAGATAAAACCTGGATTTCAGACTCCTCCGTATCTCTAAACCAAATTTCAGTCCGCACACGCCTTTCGTTAAGGAAGTTTAGCTCTGTCCAGCCCAAACTACGCAGCACCTTTTCCTCAACATCTGCCATTGGTTGGAATTTCACCATGCCTTCAAATTCAAACGACGAAGGTGTAAACATCTTCGAGTCTATAAAGAACTCAAGTGGGGACATTTGTGGATCAAATACAATTTTTCGTAGCAAAGGCTTAGAACTAGAACCAAAAAGTATAGTTAAATTTGTTAGTGTATGTGGAGGATGTTCGACTGACATCAGCTTATAACAGTATGACATACTAAGCACGTTAAGCCTAGGAAGGCTACTCACACAATTGGGCATGGAAACAATAGGATTTTCATCTATATATAATTCCTCTAACATGGATAGGCAACTGAAGTCCATGGGAAAGGATTCGGTAAACAAATTATTATTTGTAAGTGACAACTTCACTAAAGTTCTCGGTAAAAGAATCGTAAAGAACTTCAAATCACTTGGTATAGCCTCGAGAATGGAAGGGGAAGACGTTTCTGTATTTATGACAATGTTGTTAGCCTTGAGATTTCTATTGAATCCGTATTCCTAATCTCGATTTGAGATTCACGAAGACTACACCCCTCTAGCGACAATGTTTTAACCTTCTTTAACATGCCTATGCTTCTTGGAAAATTTTGAAGCTTGTTGCAGTAGCTAAAATCAATAAGGACGAGTTCACGACTTTGTTGAATTGATTCACAAACCTCAAGTAAACCAATGCAACCTTTAAGTATTAACCTCTCAAGTGAAGGGAGATGGTCAAAGCCACCAAGACTACGAAGTTGTTCACATGAACTTAAATTAAGAATCTTCAACGATCCAAGCAACCTTTTGTCTTTTGAGCTTGATCCTTTCAATTGCTGAAATTCAGATAAATTAAAATAGTTGTGAATTACATCCACTCGACATAATAAACTAGTAAATGGAGATAAGATACCTTTAGCCTCTTATGAGATTGTTGTGGATAGCTATAAAAAATCCCAAATGACTCAATATTGCTATATGACATGTCAAAAGCAACCATATTCTCAATCGGTAAGTTTGAAGGTATAGACTTTAAAGGGAACCCATGCATGCACAACCATCTTAATTCTGTGGGAAAATTCTTGTAAGAGCCGGTTATGTGCACATAATTGAGTTGTAGCAGCATTAGACTATCCATCTTACTCAGTGCATCTGTTTTCAACTCAAGTGATCCATGTAACTTCCCTTTCTCAAGCATTTTCATGTCAAGGGTGAGGCCTAGAACATTTTCCATAACCTAAGAAGAAATGGGATTCAAAAATATTTTAAAATATTATAAAACATGTATATAAAAATACAATATGCATTAAACAAGTATACATGAACTCTTACTTTTTTTTTTGTTTCAACACTTTGAATGACTCCTCATGACACCATAATCGACTTCGTTCCCATGGTCTGTCAAGCGATTCTTCACGTACTAGGAATCTTCCCATCTCTTGAACCAACTGATGCATCATTAATTCGTTATTCCATCTGATAGTAAGAAGGCATCTGTCAATAAGATTTGTGATCCCGGATCTTGTGTCTATATCACATGCATTTAATATTGTTTCAGTAACATCTCTTTCCATTCCAACAAAAAAACAAACAATGTGCTTAAACAAGTCCTTATCATTTTTGAATGGCAAAGAGTCGAAGCTCATTCTCAAGACATTATTTATAGGGGAACCATTCTCTTTCTTTAGCCCTTCTATGTATCCCTCCCAATAAGTTACATCTCGATTATGTAGATTTTCGCCCAAAACTTTTAAAACCATTGAATGTCCCTGGCAATATTTCACAAGTTTTTCAGACGCCTCTTCATAACCTTTCTTGGGATCATTGCACATGAATGCATGAAAACAAAAAAGTCTTTGTGAATCGATCTCAGATAAGACTTTAAGCTCATACATTTCATGTTTAGGTTGAACGTGTGTTTTGAATAGTGCACAGCTCTTTGTCAACCATGCATCCTTTGTTGTTATTATGATTTTGGTTCCTGGATGAAAGCTTTTGCTTCCAAGTAATGCATCTAATTGGTCAAGACTACCAATATCATCAAGAACTAGAAACACCTTTTTACAAGATACTGCATTCTCTATCATCGAGGTGTTTATAGAATCATCATGAGCTTGAACTGAACTTCGCTTTGAAATGTCATCATAGAGTTGTTTTTTGTAAATCAAGCAACCCATCAATTTTTTCACATCTCCTATTTATATTTTCAATAAAGTTGCTTGTGTCGAACTCATGAAAATGTAACCCATAGACATATTTAGCTAAAGAAGTCTTTCCGATGCCACCCATACCAAAGATGGTGATTATATCTGTGGTATGTGAGGATGCATCTTTTAGCCATGATGTAATGAATTTAATGGAATTCTCCATCCCAATAAGCTGTGGCAGTGGAAACCTTGAGGATATGTGTAATCTAGCGAAGATGTCCGTAACAATTTCATCAATAAACTCCACATCTAGCCTGAAATTCGATTTTAGTAAGAACCACAAACAAATTCCAAAAACTAACATGCCATATTGGAGATCTAAGTTTTCCAAAGATCCAAATCAAATTTATATGATTAAGCTATTATTTAATTAAGTTTTGCACATCACAAATATTATTATCTTTTCACTTGATGTGCAAGTTCAAATTAGAATAGGACCAAAATGTCGGTGAATAATAATAGGTTAACCTTTACTACTTACAAGTTACACAAGTAAGAGCCTTGAAATGTCATAATAAAGAATGATATGATTTGAAGGTAAAATGATATACAAATAATATATGCATTAGGGTCGTTCAAAATTTGGTTTATACATAAAACAAATTATAAGCTCATTAAAATGGTTTATCTCAATGAATTTATTTATTTTAAAATGATAAATGCATAGAAAATGTGTTAAAGTTAGTAGGATGGTTTAACCTGCCTATAGGAAATTAATTTATGAGATCACATAGTTGCAAAAATTAGATTCAATTCAAGCATATCTATATCCAAACTTAAATGCATAAAAAATATGCCTATTTGATGATATGATATTGAAATGCAAAAGGAGAAGGAGAAGATGATATTGACTTTTCATGTGTTAATTAAACAAAATTAAAAGAGTATTATGGAAGTAGGGTAAGAAAGTCGTTACCTGCCATTTACGTCCTTTCCTTTTAAATTAGCAACTTCTGTAAGCGCTTTATTCCATCGATCCATCTTTTGAGCCAATTTACTTATTTTATTTCCATCTGTCTCCACCTCCATCATCTTTTTATGTTTAGCCATTGCATCTCCGAAGCTACCTTCTTGTTTCCTGACATGTGTGGGCTCAACATGATAAAAGACAGGAATAACAATATGATTGGATGTCATATGTTGCTCAACGATCAGCACCAATTCGTCAAGACACCACGTGGAGTCAGCATAATTCTTTGACAGCACAATAACAAAAGCCCTAGATGATTTAATGGCACTCTCCAATTCTGGTTTCAGATCTTCCCCTGTTTCAATCTCTTCATCATCCAAGAAGGTATTGATATTGGCATGCGTGAGGGCATTATAAAGGTGATTAGTGAAGCTATTACGAGTGTCAACACCTCTAAAACTTAAAAATACGTCGTATCTATGACCATGAGTTGAAGAAGAAGATGAAGCTCCTTCAGAAATTTCATGGAGAACGACCATTATGAGTTATGGATTAATGACCCTTCACCCTTCCCAATAACCTCTGAAGCTTTTTTACCAACGCTTTGCTCACTTCTGCCTCAATCTCAGGATCCCATACATAATGTCTGTACAGAAAATCAAAATTATTACTTTATTTTCTACAAAATAAAACTTTTAAGTGTTTGAATAACAAACCATATGCACCCCCAAACTTTTTATCTGAATTTAATATGCTTTGAAAACAACAAACAAACAGAAAGAACCAATATATGTGCAGCTATGTATTGATATAGAATCGTCATAACATTAAGATGGGAATTGTTTAATGTTTGGTTACTCAGTTAATTAGATTGGTTAACCTATTTTTCTACCCACAGAACAGGACTTCAAGTTAGCCAAATCCTACTTGTAACTATCATAGACATCCCTACTATTTTTTAAACAAATAATAAACACCATCAATTAAAAGACCCAAAAGCAAGAAAAAGTCCCTGGAATGAACAAGAACAATCTTTTGAAATGTGAAATTTTGTATCATTAAATCTAGTATAGAATATTGATGGGTTGCTCCACATGATAAGTTTTTGAATGTAACAAGTCTCACCATCTCTAAGCTTTTAATTACAAGGTCTATACTAGATAAAACTTTAGAGATAAATTCACATCATACAGAAGAATATATACATCATCGTCAATTTTGAGTTGCATCTTTTTTATTTTAAAAAACCATGTGAAAGCATTGCTTTGTGCTCCTCCTGGAACAAAATTTTATGTCAACCAAACCGTACTTGTAATTACAGCATCTGAAAATGGCCAAAAGTAAAAGCATCTGAAAGTTGAAAATACACCTGTTTCATATAACACAACTAAAAGCACAACAATTACAATCGCATATTAAAGTTTATTCATTGTCTTTGTGAGTTGGAATATATAGAGAGAGGAATTAAGAAGTCAATGTTGAACTCTGTACTATCCCAACTGAAATAATCGAAATTTCAATCCCTAATTAAAATTAAAACAAATAATTATGATGTAATTTTTGATTAATAAGATATAATTGTCTAACAACATGTGAAACTAACTTCAAAGAATGTTCATTCACAGTTACCTGCATACAGCCTACAGAGCTACAGCGACACCTGAAGCAGAGAAAATAGCGGACGATCCAACAGCAACGCGATTGAGAAGGACGTCGAGTGAAAAATCCAGAGCGAACGGCGCCAAGTCGGCTGGTATACGGCGAGTCAACGAGGAAAGAAAGGAACCAGCGACAGAGGTGAGACACTGAGACAATGTTGGGTTTTTCTTTTTACCTTTCACGATATTTCCTCTTTTAGTGATATTAGATTTTCTTGAGTAAATTACAGGAATGGTCCTTGTCGTTGTCAAAATATTACGGTTTTAGTCTAAAATTTCTTTTTGTCATAGCTTTGCCTTAAATATATGCATTGGTGGGGGTTTGATTAGAACCATCTTCTTGGCGTCGTTTGGATGAGCTAGAACCCAAACCAAGGTTCATTTCATGAAGTCGCACCCCAAGAGTACGATCCACGCAATAAACACAACCTTCTTCTTTGATTGATCGTTACCAAAATCTGAAACTTGCGAGACTTTTAGGGCGAGAATAGAGAGGATCAGAAATAGGGGTTTTGGAGAGAACAAAAAAAATGAGAGAAGAGAGTCGAATCTCTTATGATCGGTTCCTCTTTATTCTTAGGGTTTATCCTTTATTTTTGGTAATTATCATTTCCCTGGTTGATAAGTTATCATTATCCTAAAATAAAAGATAACGACTAACAATGGATGTTTACATTTAACTATTGAGTTTAATTAGTTTCAAACTAACTCATCACAACTTTGGTTCGCCGACCGTCCACTATAGGTTCCTAGATTTGCGAGGATATGGATAGGGCGAGCAAAAATCAAACTGATCTAAAAGAAACCGAAAAACCCGCAACAAACAGATGCCGATACAAAAATTGACTCTGCGGTTTTTAATTTAGTGAAGACCAATCAAAGTCGGCTAGATGCAATTTTACCTTAGCAACCGACTCTAAAAACACTAACCACACCACTATAATTATATTTATTAAAATATTAAATGATTATACTATATTATCTATTACTTCTAATATTATTAGTTCACTGATATTCATTTGACTTTGACTAAGCTTTGAATTTGTTATCATAGATGTTTAAGATTCTTTTATGTTATTATGAATGTTTATGACTATGATTTTTTTTGGTGAATCAAATTCATAAGAGTCCAAGATTATGGCTATGATTGTGTTTATGAACCAAAACTATTATGTCACCAAATTTCGATTGTGGGCTGAAAAGGAACAAAAAAAAAAAACTAAAATGGTTTCATATTTCATGGGCTATGGTGTATTGGGTAAAAGGCTAAAGGCTAAAATTTTAATTAGAAATTGTTTCATTTCTCGTCTCTTGTGGTCCTAAAATCGCATCATGTTCACTGTTATATATGTGTAAAGGGTTCGCCATAAGAGATGTGCTAATTGGCCCTATTCATAATAATTTCACAACCCAAACTCCTAGTTATATATGTTTGAAACCACCATGATTCGAATTTGGGTTACTTATAAGGAGATGATTTCAAAATCTTATCTTATTCACAATTTCCTAAAAGGAATAGTAAATTATCAGGTCAAACATCATTCAGAGCATGACATATGATATAATCGTGAAACCATAAATAACCCCATAAAACTCAATATGCCAGGATTTTCGCTTATGAGGGCACGAGGCGGTGATATGTGTAAAGAAACTACGAAGAAACAAAAAGGTCATGACCTACAAACCTTAATTATATCCTAACATCCAAACCACATCACATGGACTATGACATTTTATTTTTATCTTCTTTTTTCTACAATCAATCAAAATGTTATTTGATGGCAAGTAAACAGGCAAAACAATGTCATACTTTAAACACTTCAATATTAATTTATACCAAAATTAACAAGTTGCTGACATTTATATATCTTGATGTTTATCTAGTATTCTATATATAATCAAATTGCATTAGAACCATACCAAAAATACCATGTGTAGTTCTTCTAAATCTTAAAAATTATTTTTTCCTTTTTTCTTAGAAGTAAGAAAATAAACATGACTTGTTTCACACAACTAATTTTCCTATAACTCATTGAGAAAATTAATGTTATCCAATGGAGCAAAGTAACCAAAAAGGGAGACATGACTAATCAACGTCTCATTAATGATTTGTTAACTAAACCCCAAAACCAAGGACTATCCAAGTATTTACATAATTTGTCGTATATTTAGAAAATAAAACTTGACACAAGAATACAAGATCTTTAATAATACTTCTAATTACATATTTAACTGAAACTTATTATATCTTTCTAAACATCATCATAAAACAATTAATAAACTCATGGATATTAAAAATCGAGAATTAATACCAATTTGTGTACAGTCTTTTCTTTGAAATTTTAGAAATATATATATATATATATATATATATATATATATATATATATATATATATATATATATAAAGCGGTGCTTCTTTATTTAGACCAACTCCAACAATAACACTATAACCTATAACATTTTTGTGAAAATTTTACACTAAAACCTTTTTTCGACTTCAAACACATTAAAAACATATTTTAACATTATAATGAAAATTATCATATAGCAAGGACTTGCTGCTAATGTGTCACCAACAGTAATGTGTCTAGCAGAGTCCACTCATCCCTCTTTGTAAACTGTCATTTAATTATTAAAATATATATATATATATATATATATATATATATATATATTATCATAAAAAATTGTTTTCTTTTTTCAGAATACACACCTAATTATAAGAATTGCTGAAATATCACATGAAAAAATTTAAGCTATCGATCACTCATAAATTTGGCAACAGCAATGGTTTTCATGGTGCTGCCTAGCTGCATTCTCAAATTCACTTATAAAATACATTTGGAGTTAATTAAGTGTTGAGTGTGAAGCCATTGGGCTGGTCAAAAGGCAGAAAACATGGCAGAAAACATAGAAGAAAAGCAAGTCAAAAAGGTGGAAAAGGAGAGGTGATCCATATTTCCCGGATGCATGTTTCATGGCTGCTTTTCTTGTTCAATTGTTTACTTCAGAATCTATATATGAGTCTCATCTGTATTGTAAAAATAAGCAACAAAGAGTGAGTGCAGATTAGCACCAAGAAATATAAACTCCTAGTTACCGGTGGACGTAGGTCAGAGAAGGACCGAACCACGTTAAATCCCTCGTGTTCATCCTTGTGTTCTTGTTTTTCGTGAGCTGTGTGTGTGTTTAGAGTCGTGTGTTAAGTGTCTCGATCCTAACAAGTGGTATCAGAGCAAGGTTTTAGCTCCAAAAGGTGATTTTCAGTTTTTGGTCAAAAAAAATTTTCGTCAAAAACGATTTTGGTGTATACCGTTGGAAAGGTCTCGTTCCGAAGATTCCGAAAATATTTTTTTTCTGAATTTTTTGACCACCGGAAGACGTCCAAATCGCCGGTCAAAGGTTGCCGGAATAGTTACCGAAAAACCAGTTTCGCCGGAGAAGACGACACTGTAGCACGACGTCAGCGGTGACGTCAACAGAACTGTAGCAAGTACTGTAGCACGACGTCAGCGGTGACGTCAGCAGGCACTGTAGCAACACTGTAGCAGATTTGAAAAATTGCAGTTTAGCCCCTGAACTTTCAGAAAATTGCAGTTTAGCCCCTGAACTTTCAGAAAATTGCAGTTTAGCCCCTAATCTTTCAGAAAATGGCAGAAAACAGTAAGCTTCAAATTGAGAAGTTTGATGTGAAAGATTTTGGTTGGTGGAAGATGCAAATTGAAGATTTGCTCGTGTAGAAAGACTTGGACGCAGTTTTAGGTGAAAAACCGGAGGCGATAACACAGGCAAACTGGGAGATTTTGGATAAGAAGGCCAAGGCATTTATTAGACTGACGTTGTTAAAGGATGTTGCCTTCAACATTTTGAAGGAGACCTCGGCAAAGGGAATCATGGAGGCATTGTCTAATATGTACGAGAAGCCGTCGGCAGCAAATAAAGTCTTCCTGATTCAGGAGCTAGTCAACACGAGGATGAGGGAAGGAAGTTCAGTTACAGTACACATCAACAATTTGAACTCAATTTTATCCAGACTTGGGTCAGTGGGAATAAAATTTGAGGACGAAGTTCAAGCTTTACTACTGTTATCATCATTACCTGACAGTTGGTCCGGAACAGTTACAGCCGTTACTAGTTCCTCAGGATCGAAAGAGCTCACTTTTGAGGGAATTCGGGATTTAATTCTAGGCGAAGACGTCAGACGAAGAAATTCCGGGGAATCATCAAGTGAACAATTGAATGCGGTCAGAGGTAGAAAAAATAACAGAGGTAGTGGGAGCGGGAACAGGAGAAGGAGTCAGTCGAGGACTCGAAATGATGTGACTTGTTGGAACTGTAAAGAGGTTGGACATTTCAGGAATCAATGTCCAAAAGACAAGAAAGAAGTTAACGCTGCAGTAGACCATTCAGATGATGATGTTTTGATCTGTAGTGTGGAGAGCAATGTGGATTCCTGGGTTATGGATTCGGGTGCTTCATTTCACGCTACCCACAGCCGTGAAGCACTGCAGAATCTAAAAGAAGGAGATTTTGGTAAGGTAAGACTGGCGTACGATGAGGTTCTTGATGTGACGAGCATATGTGACTTAGTTTTGAAGACTCCAGTTGGTCCATGGACTTTGAAGGATGTCCGAGTAATTCCAAGTCTGAAGAAACAATTGATTTCTGTTGGGCAGTTGGATGAACAGGGACACGAGGTTAAGTTCAGGAATGGGCAGTGGAAGGTTGTCAAAGGAAATCTTGTGATAGCTCGTGGACATAAGAAGGGTTCATTATATATGGTCAGATTACCATCTGAGGGAGTAACCGTCCCAGTTCAGAAGAAAAACAAAATCCGGTTCATAGAGGCTCGTGGACAGAAGAAGGTTTGCTTTGCAGATGGCAAACCCAGAGTCACAGGTCAGATTCAGGTTGAATGTGTTTGGAACGGTTCAGAAAAACCAGTCAAGGGCATTCATAGCAGTGGGAGCAAGGGTTGTGCTTCAGCTAGAATACCCAGAACACAGTAGGTCAAGAGAACCAGTATTCCATCTGTAAAAGTCTCTCCAGATTATCTGTTTCATATGGAGAGTGTCGTTTGTTCTCAAGATGTTCCAGGATCGGGCAGTTCATTTCAGTGGGAGCAGGTGGAGACAGAGAACAGGTCAGTGGCAGACTTAGTCATGA